TACAGAAGATGATCATGAAAATAAACACTGCCTACCACTGGTAGCAAATGGTGTTCCTTTTCTTACTTTTTTTCTTTTTATTCCTTTTTTTTTTTTCTTTTTTTTTTAATACATCAGGAAATTACTTTTGCAACTGCTACTCCTTCAGCTTCATCTTTCATTCCAGAGGACAGTGTCATTAGCCAGGCTGTGAAGCATCACAGTCAATGTCAGCCTTCAGAAGTGTCAAAAATGTCTCCATCATTAATATTATCTATAATTTCTTTCATTGCCTGCAGAACCCATTCAAACCTGTGAAAACACACATTGTAAATTCACACCTAGACTTACCCAGGTAATTCATAACTGAGAAAAAAAATCATAGACATGGCAGGCTGTAATAGGTGAATCAAAAGTGAACCCCAAAAGAGCCCTACAGCACACTCCCAGAGTTTCCAAACCATTTATTAGAAGCCTGAATGGTGCAGTTCATGGCCATTGCACACCCACAGAGGTATGACAAACAGTTATTTTTTAAATTGGCTATTTGGACATGCTGCTTTTCAGCTTGCACACATATCTGCAGTGATTTTGCACACAGAACAAGCCACTATGTAACTCTGAAGTATTAAACTTGCATTGTGATTACTGCTCACTAATAAAAACTTTCCTAAATTGGTCAAAAGGGAGTCACAGGTTGCAGCTGTTATCTTGCCTTACTACTGGAAGCCTCGAGCCTTAATGCTATTGCCTTTAAATATTGAATGTTTGAAGGAGGAAGCAAAGGAACATTTTTCATAAGAAGCATATCATAAATTAGGAGGAGAGGAAATTCATTTCCTCAAGTATTTCCAGAGATGTTTCCCAGCCAGTTTGTTGTTTACTGTAAGTGATCAGAAATACCTCTCATGCTCAACAAGAGGAAGATACAATCTGTGAAAAGCAGTCATTGACCCCTGCCTGAGAGTTTCCTTGACTAAAAACCAGTCTGATTCCTGAATGGATTACGTGGAGTTTGACAGCACAGGGAATCTCATCACTGTATCCTGCAGAAGGGGAGGAACAGGGGCAGTGCAGTAAATGTGCTGAAAATGGCTTCTAATTGTGCCAGGGAATTTAGGGTGGGTAATGGGGGAAATTTCTTCCCTGACAGGGTGGCCAGGCACTGACACAGGTGGAGTCCCATCCTTGGAGGAACTCGAAAGCTGTGTGGATGTAGCACTTGGGGACATGGTGGCCTTGGCAGTGCTGGGGGGACAAAGGGACCCAATAATCCTGGAGGGCTTTTCCAACCCAAACAATCCAGTGATTTTTCCAAGGTCACTCTTTCTGACCCTCTCTCTGAGGAAAAGCTCTGCTTGCAGAGCTTTCCCACCCCAGTAACCCCTCAGAGCCCTGTCAGTGTGAAGATGCTTTACCTGAAACAGAGGGAAACCAGTCACCAGCAGCTCCTCGTGTCCCACGGTGCAGCACTGTGCCAGGGGGACATGGCTGTCACTGCTGTGGGGCCACTCACCCTTTGCAGCAGCACATTCCATCTGCTCCCACCTCCCTGTGCATCCTCAGCTCCAGGGTGGCTGCCCCACCTCTGCTGTGGGGCTTCCCCCCTTCCTGACAGCCACTGCCAAAACCTCTCCTGCCATTTCCCTCCTCACTCTCCCAGAAAACCCTTCCTGGAGAGAAAAGCCAAGATTAAACACAGGTTTATATTCAGGTCCCAGAAACGGACCCACCTCCACCATCCCTCATTTTAATCTCATCTGCTCATCACTCTCCATAAATATCAACCTGCAGAGCTTTGGACATGTTAAGATTTATATCCATGCTGTCCCCTGAGATTTAATGCCTCCTGAATGTCCATTCATCCTCAGCATTCCCTGGGGACAAAATCAGAGTCAAAGAAGATTGACAGGCAACCATTTTATGAAATATTTTCAAGAGGAAAATGTCTGCAAAACATCTGTTGGACTTAAAAACAAAAATTGCACCAGTTCCTGTGTCCTACAGCTCTGACAGGTCAGACAAAAGAATTTTTAATATATAAATACATATATTTATATTTATATAGAAATAATAGAAATGTATATAGCATAGCTACATATAATGTTTAATATTATTGTATGTTATCATACTGTTTCAATATTTATATATTGTTTAAATAAATATTTACACCTATAATAATAGATATCAAAGTTAAAGATATATTATTTAAAGGCCACAGTTCACAAGGCCAGCCAGCTGTGTTGAAAAAGAGAAGAATCATTTTTACAGAGAGCAGCCTTTGCCTCCTCAAAGCCAGGGTTGCCCTCTGGAAACTTCCCTTTTGGTCTTAGAAGTTTTGGTTTAGTTTAACTTTGTTCCCTCTCTATTAAAAGGAAAAGATTAAATGGAAGATAAAGATTGTCTTATTGACAGTTTACATCTGCACAGCCCCAAAAAGACCATTTTCTTCCAGAGAGCCTGATTCTTCAGTTTAACAGGTGTTACTCAAAAGAGAAACCCCATTCATTTTGCCTTTCTTGGGCTGGACTTTGCCCGGACCAAACCCAGCTCCCGTCCTGCAGCACAGCTCTGTCCTGCCCAGTGCTCTGCACCCATCCCTCCTCTCCAGCCACAGACCAGAGCACTGCTCCTTCCTGTCCCTAGGGCTGCTTTCCCACACCAGACACCTTTGCAGCTGTCCCTGTACCACTCCATGGCACCACTTTGTTCTCATGTATTCATCCCCTCCTGCAAACCTCTCGAATTTCTCCTCCCATAGACACCCACCACGTTCTGGTCACACGTTTAACATCCTCCTTCCACTCCCTCCAGGCCCATTAACTCTCCCAAGGGAATTTCTGTGAGGCACCAAGAGGCCCAGACACCTCTCAGTCTCACTGAGACCGCTCAGGTGTCCTTCCTGCAGAGGATGCTGTGGGTTTGCTGCCTGGTTCAGAGCTGCCCTCCCTCCACAGCTGCTGCCCTTGCACTGCATCAACCAGGAGTGCTTGCTATGAACTGGCAATGCTCCATCTCACCTCACTTCCTCCACGTTAGGAGATCAGTAATTCCTCACCTGTCCTGACACATATTTTCTCTCTTCTGCCAGTAGCCTGCAGTAACAGCCCACATTATGATCCCCTTTTACTTGTACAGGATTAGAGGCACAGGGTGTGCACCATCAGACTGCCCTGAAATCTGTGGTACAGCCCTTTGAGTTTACACTCCATCGTGCAAAAAATACTTTTCCCTTGGGAGCAGCAGATTCCAGCCTTATCCTTGACGAGATGCCCTCAACTCCCACCCCTGAGCCTGTTCCTGTGAAAGGACATTCCACCAGACAGCCTACGAGATGACTGAGTGCTCAAGCAGCCACATTAAACTGTGATATGATATGACAACAAGAAAGTTTCTGGCCTTTATTTGAAGGCTTTTTACCAGTTACAGTAAGAATTGTCATTGCAAACCAGGAATTTTTTAAAAAATGAATAATAAAAGTTAAAAAAAACATCCACGAGTCCACCTGCAAGTAAGACGTGTTGGTACAGAAAGGAAACATGAGCTTTTGCTTCTTCCATTCTGTTTGTTTTTCAAAGAACTGATAGAACTAAGATACTAGGAAAGGTTGGATGCTATCAGAATCATTCCAGCAGGTGAGCATTTAACACCATATACTGTACCAGGATAACAGAGTAGCTATGTTAAGTCTATGGGTTTGAGTTGAGCCTATTGTAATTTTCTTCCCAAAAAGGACATTAAAAACCAGATGATGCCAAGATGTTCCAATGGAGCCATAAGCTGGCTACATGAGTTTGTCCCCATTATGTTTAGGACTCATCTTGGTAGCAAAGGAGTGATGTAAGCAACTGGAAATCTGAGCAGTGGCTGACCAGACTGCCACTGCCACTCAATTATGTTTAGGACTCATCTTGGTAGCAAAGGAGTGATGTAAGCAACTGGAAATCTGAGCAGTGTGGCTGACCAGACTGCCACTGCAACTCGGCTTTACAATGCACCTTCAGTGTGTCCACACATCCACGGGCCTGCCAAGGCACACCAGCAGCAATTCTGACTCAGCCTTCTCTTAGCAGGAAAGGCCATTTACCTGCTTTGACCAAAATCAACCCCTCTGATGACCTGTTGCTTCCCAGTTCCACACATGCAATCCTCTTGGAAAGAGACTTGAAGCAACCAGGTCCCAGTGCACAACTTCTGACCTCCCAAAAGTCATCTTCACCTTCAGCCACATCCTGCTGCCACCTTTTGCTTTGAGTTGCTGGAATAATGGAATATTTAGAGTCGAAAAAAAATATGCTTCCGACTTCAAAGCAAGGAAGTAATGGGAAAGAAGATTTTATGTGCATCAAACCCTGGGTCTGTGTCCAGCCCCAGCTGTGCCACACCAGCAGGCAGTGCCAGCAGTGCCTGTTCTCCTCAGTAAGGCACCCACAGAGCCCTCAGGGGCAGGGAAGGTGCTCCCCAGCACAGGAGCAGCCCTGCAGGGATCCCTTCCCATTCCATGAGCACTTCTCTGCAGATGCTGGTCTGTGCACACAGCTGTGACAGGAACATTTAAGAAACACAATTCAAGTCAAACAAATCAACTCAGTTTACAGTCAGTCTGCTCACAGAGCCTGGTGACAGAAACAATTAACATCTTGTTTGTCTGTAACTCATAACCAGTGTTTTAGCAGTTTCAAAACACGTTAAACACACGTAAAGTCATGGGACAGCACTCCTGTAACACATCCCTATTCCCACACCAAGAGGAGGAGGAGGAGGAACTCAACACCACACTCACATCCCATTGACTTGTGGGAGGGAAAACACAGAAAGAAAAACCCAAAAAAATACAACAACCATTTGTGCCAGCACACTCCAAACAAAGTTCCAAGACTACTGCTACTGAGGTTAGCAATGCCTGGGGCTGGGGAATGGAAGCTGAAATTCCAGGTCCTGCAAGCTTCATCATGAAACTACCACGGGCTTCAGCTCTGCCTGATCGTATCTGAAAGCATGAGAGACTCCAGCAGACAGGACACTCTTGAAATACAGAACTTTATTTAGAAACTGCTTAAAATAGAAAAACCCTGTCAAGAAAAATCCAAGTCAAATATGGTTTCTCAGTAAAATGGAGTTTTAGGGCAACAGAAGTCTAAAAGGCCACAAGAGAAATAGCACCACTGCAATTTCAAACAATGGCTAGATACTTGCATTTTTGGCATTCACTGAATTTGGGTTTTTCTCTGAACTTCACAAAGATTCATGCACTACACAATTACCATAAAATGCTCTCCTACACACATTTTAGGACAAGCTACCACCAGAAACAAATGAATACAAGCACAACAGGACTGATCAATCTCAGTAGTGAAGGGGGGTCAGAAGTCTTGCAGGATCTTGCCAAACACAACAGTAATGAGGGGCATGATAGAAAAAAAGGATAGTTAAGGAAAGTATTTTAAATATTAATATTTAAGTTAGTCTCAGTACTGTATTTTCTGCAATAACATTAGCTCTGTTAGCCAGCATCTTTTAGTTTTTACCCCAGAAGACTACTGAACTGGCAAGTGTTATTACTAATATGCCCTGGTTCAAAGGGGGGAAAAAAAATAGAAAGCAGACAGAAAAATATCATCCTCATGTGCTCAATTCACTTTCATTCAAAGCCAGTTGCACAGTGCCAGTCCTGTTACAACTATTGGGCGTGTTCAGCATTCCATGGGATGGGAAAGGGAAAAGTGAGAGAACAGAAGGGATTCCAACAGAAATGAAAATAAACAGAACAAATAAAAACAAGAGCCAGGAAGAAAAATCACTTCTGAAGGACATTTCAGGCAGTAAGACTGTGTGCCCTTTGCTTTGTTTTGCTTTTCTTACAGAAAACACAGTACGTTTTGGCAAAGCCACAATGCCACAGAAAAAGGCTTCAGCACTCTTCAAGGTAATTTATGTGTCTCAGCTGTTCATACTCCCTCTAATCTTGTGACAGGCAACGTTAAGGCCCATTTCATCGAGAACTAATCACTTAGTAAGCAGCTTTACATAGGAATGGAGTTTTGTTTTAATAGCCCCTTTTGAGCACTTGCTGACACAGTGAGACTGCCACGCAAGGCCTCTCGGACAGCAGTGAATGGAGTTAAACAAACGTCTACCCCAATATGAAGCACATAAAATCTCCCATCACATTACTTCAATTTGGCATATGGAAGCATATTTTAAATACTCTTAAGGCATTTATTATAATTTCTGTTCTGCAATTTCACATTAACTCAATCTTTCTGAGTCAGTCTTTAATTTCTCTACTGCGCACCGCCTTAGATACAAAAAGAGTCTTCCCACAAACCAGTGTTTTACCAGCAAACCATTCTGCAACAAGTTCCAAATATTCAGCCTCTTGCTCCCTAAATATACCACCTCGATGTGAATACTGCTCTGCTACAGCGTGAGAAAGAGCTCCTAACTCAAACCCACTGTAAAAGTGAAACTTCTGCAAAGTGCACTTTAAGAAGAGGTACTTTTTGCTTATGAAAAGAGACCAGTGAGTCCTCTAAGAATAAAGTGGAGTATTTTACAGTTAAGCACATGATCTGGGGCAAAGAATTCTGATGTTGCTGCTCTGCTGGTACAGTATGTGGTCTGTTAATACTCTTCTTGTTCCTCCTGCGGTGCTCCTTCGTCAGGTATCACAAAGCCTTCCTGAAGGGGAAGAAAACAAGTGCTTTAATGAAAATCTGATGTCAAACCAGTTCCTGGCTACTCTGTAGGTACTTTTTTTTTCCTCTTACTTCAGGTAAGACACCCTTAAGTCACTGTTTACAAGATGTATTACCAGAAGTATTTTCCTCATCTTTGATCTGTTACATACTACTCATGAAAGGTGTACCTTGTTTGCTGTCTGACAATAGTTAAATTATCTGATGCTTTATTACAGGAAAAAGCTAGGCCATAAACCTCACAGGGAAAAAAAATAATGTAGAACAAGAGGGAGGCCTGGAAAGCAAACCAGCTTCCAATTACAAGGGCAGGAAGAACTGTGCAACCCCGTCTATAACAGATTACTTACATCTGTGGCATAAAGAATTTCCACAATCCTCTGCAACACTGGATCATTCTCCCCTTCATTCTCCTGGCAGATCAACTCAATGTTCCTCAATTTGCCAAAGTAGAAGTCTCTCTCCTTCTCCAGATCTTCAACAGTAAGTTTCAATGCATTGATCTGCCAAAGGGCATCAATAATAATTATATCCACCAGAGACAGAATTCAGTGGGATCTATGCAAAAGGGGAGTCCCAAAAGTTCTCAGAAGGGTGTTGATATGCAAAGCACTTCAGCAGTAACCAAGATATGGGGGAGGGGGGACTGTGACAGGAAGAAAAGGGCCATTTCTCAAATTTTAGTATCACTGCCACAAGAAACATCCAGTCCAACACACCCAAATCCACTTGGAAAGCCTAAAGGCTGATTCCATGAAATAGGTAAAGCACTGACTGCCTGCAGTCCCCTCTGCTAACACATTCTTTCATGACAACTCTCCTGCTGACAGCAGGCTCAGTTGTGTTCACTCCGGATTTCAGTGAAGGAGCAGCTGCTCATAGCTCTGTTGGAATGCTGGGAGAGCTGCAACACAGCTGTGGGAATACTTACAAGCCCTGCTATGTGTGACACAGCCCACACTGGGGTGAAATGTCTGGCCACTCGTGTGCTACAGGAGGGGGTTTGCTTCCATCAGGAGAGCAAGACCACTATAACAAAGGGTTCCAATTAAGTGATTTTAAATTAGCTGATTCACATAATTTTCTTCCATCTGCCTGACCCAGACATTCCACGGTACTGGAAAAACAAACCTGCCCATAACTCTACCAAGCAGAGGTCAGTCACAGGGCTGTCCTTACACACCTGCTCGATCAATCCCGCTGATTCATCGTCTCCTCCACCCTTTTTGCCCATCCCAGGCCCAGCTCTGGGACCTGCTGGGGTCCTCTGTGCAACAATGGGCCTCTGCGGGGCTGCAAGATAATTCACCAATTAATTCCAATTCTCCCTCCCATAAAGGTACTATTCCCCCTCCAAACACGCTTAGGCATGAGAGAGATTGAAGATATGTTCCTTCCTTAACTCCATGTAACATGTCCTTTCATTTTGGCACCAATTCTTGCCATTCTCTTTTATACAAGACTGTTCTTTCTGTAGCCTCCAGACACCTGGGTACTACAGCAGCCTCAGTCTTTGAGCCTGGCATCTCTGAAACAAGATGCAGAATACTAGAATCCCATACACTGATTTTAAACAGCAACCCAGCCTTCATTTCCCCAGAGTTTTTCATTATCTAGATCATCTTTTAACTATTTTCTCTACCTGCACTGCCAGTACCGAGAGATTTCCTGGTTTTGTTCACAACTGGAGTAACAAGGTTTGGTGCTATTGTGTCTTGGCCTTGTCGAGCAGCAACAGGATCATACTCCTTCCCGTCATAGTTTGCATCAAAAAATTTTTTGAACCACTGAACAAATTCAAAGTTGTCCTGAAATTTTCCTTTCACTAGTTTGTCCACAGGAATTATCTGAAGAGGGGGAGAAAAAAAAAAAAAAAGTCATACTCTTATTACGGATAAAGAATCTCACTGGGATTTTATGTAAAGATTTAAAAAAAAAAAAAAGTCATACTCATATTATGGATAAAGAATCTCTCTGGGATTTTATGTAAAGATTTAAAGTTAATGCACTCAAAAGATATGCAAATTTAATTCTTGTCCAGTCTAGGGAAAATCCCCCTTGACCACAACTATATCCGATAACCGGATTTTTGTAATTATTGGAATGAAAAACCAATCATGCTTTGCTTTTGAGGGATAATTTTGAATTATTCTGCAGCAAAGTTTCTGCTAGACCAAGTTTACAGACAAAACTTCTTCCTGTCCACATGAGGCTGGTTCTGATGGATCTGAACTGACCAACTCCAGAACTGCTACAAGAGCTAAACATCTCTGTCATAGCAGACTCCAGCTTCCCTGGCATGAGGTGTATAACTAAAGAATATTAAAAATGTAGAAAATAGTGAAGTTTTGTTAGTAGAGAAAATTTCTTTTCATAAGGCATTTGGAAGGCAGGCTGCCTGTCCAGATGGGTTGTGTGGACAGACTGCACAAGCCACTGTCCCCAAGCAGAGACTGACACTGTGCTGGAGCTGCCAGCCATGGAATGAGACATCTTCTTAAAGAAGAAAAAAGCTTCAACCCTGCAAGTTCTGCATCCTACCAAACATATTGTCTGTAACTATTACCTGAATAAATCCCTCCTCCATCAGCAGAACTGTCAGTCCATCTGAACAAGTGTTTTCACAATTTCACTACTAAAAATCACTGATTTTAATATCTGGAGGCTTTTAAAAGCCATGCAGATGTGGCACTTGGGGACATGGTTTAGTGGTGGCCTTGGCAATGCTGGAGGAACAGTTGGATTTGATGGTCTCAGACAGATTTTCCAACCTTAACAATTATGTAGTTCTATACACTTGTAAAGAGGAATTTGGAATCCTTAGGACCACCACAGCAGTAGGTTATGGGAACATATCTCCTATGAAGATGGTCCAAAGAGGAAGCTCAGGCAAACCTTATCTCACAGAATTCCAGTATTATTTTGTGCCACAGAAGTTTCCCACAACTAAAAAGGTAACATTAATCTCATCATTAAGAGCTGGAAACCTGACCTTGGCTGCAGCAAAGCAAAATGTGTCCTAATTGATGTGAGGCCCCCAAGGCAAGCCAAAACTAAAGGTTTTGAGATTTACAAACCAAAATCAAACTCTGTTCCCAGATTTATTCAGTTTTAAATCTGAAAGTTCATCCCATCTCCATTAACATTAAAAGCAGAGTCAGTCATAGCCCAGCTTACTTTGTCAACACCCATTCGTTTAAAACCTGCTTGTAGAACCTTGAAGTTTTGAATGTACTCATGTTCCAATTTTGCTTGAAACTTCACTTTCTTGAGGGCTACAGAACCTGGGAAGAGCATGTCCATGAACTGACAGTATGCAGCACCTGCCAAAAGGAAAAGAACACAAATCCTGGCATGAATTAAGTCAGCTCAGCTCACTAACCCTTGTGAGTTTCTTTCCTGTCAGGTCAGCAAACTGACCTGACTCACTCCTCAGTCACACAGGCCCTTTAAAGGCAACAAAGGCAAGAAAACAGGAACCTTCAGTCTCCTTTTTGGGGCAGCATGGCCATAAATAAGCTTAAAGGAGCTGGAGAACCAAACTTTTGGGCTCATGACTTGAACTCTTAAGAATAAGAAGAAACCTGCCTCCAGAATTCCAAGGGAAAAAAAATCTAATTAATAAACTTGACTTTCCTTTCTTCATGGACATCAGCACAGATCTGAGATGTTACACGTGCCTAACAGGCATGTAATCTTCTCTTAACAACACTAATACAACTAAATCAGAAAAAGCATTATTCTACAAATTGTGCTTAACCATTATTGAAATTGTAATACATTTACCTCCTACAAACAGAACCTATACACAATTCAAGGTGCTCTCAAAGATAAGAGGCTAATGAAGCTGAATTATATTTAAAGCAGGTCTTAATTAAAGAACGAAAATAAGATAAGTGTTTCTTCCTATTAATTTAAATTCTTCATGTCCTCCAATTCAACACTTGCTGAAATAAGAGGAAAAAAGAGATTCAGTCCAGCCACAAAGAGTGGACAACCACCTCCATATTTGTAGAATATACAAAGTTTTAAAAAAAAAGTGGCTTTAAACTAGATCCTCACTCTGCAGTGATGATGCACAACCATTAAAAGCACAAGCACAGCATTCAGAGCATTATTCCCACACCAACACGAATGAACCAATGAGTAAAGGAAATCTTAACCTAAGCCATCCAACAGCTACACAACAAGCTGTTGGGAGCTATCTGAAGGCCAAGAAGGAATACAGAAGAGCACTGACCTCTGCTCATCTCAACCACATCCTACAACTTCACTCTCTTATCAAGATACTTCACAGGCACTCCCACTTTCACCTGCTACCAGAAGACTGATGTCATCCACTGGTGCAAATTAAAAATAAAAACAACAAGGCAGCTCTTGCTGTTTGCTCTCCACTGTGTCTCAGTTCACTAGCTGCAGAGCTCCAATCCCAACTCAAACACAGAGGACTTGCCAGAAGCCAGGGGTTTGCTCTCCATTGGCAGTCAGAGTGATAAGCGTGATAAAAACAGAGGGAGCACAGCGCAAGTCAAAGGGCACTTTTTGTGCATTTATGCAACCTCAAACTGCTGCCCTTGCCAAAGACAGCAAAACAAGCTTGGGAACTCCAGCTTCCACAGGACTATGACAGCAAAAGCCACTTCATCCCTGCCAAGGCACGAAGCATTATTGCAGATGCAGAAAAGGACACTGCTCAGGACATACCACATCAACAGCTCTCAGTCTTTTCCCAAAAACAGGTGAGCTGGAATTCTGCAGAGCCAGTACCAATTATCCTCACTTCAACACGGAGCTCTCACAGCATTCAAGGCTCACACCAATCCCATGCAAATCAACCCTGCACACCACAGGGCTTAACCTGCCTATCTGAAAGCAGACAGTGCTTATCACTTCCCCTCCTCCTGTGTCTTAGGTCTTTAGTTTTCTCACCCTTACAATTCTTGTGCATCATCTCACTGACAAAAGCCACCACAAATAGCTGCCAAATGCCTGTTGCGAGTCCCTTGCTTCTCTGTAATCTTTGGGATTTTTTTTCCATCGATTCAGCCTGTACTGACAGTCTAAAAACCTCATTTTTAACTAATTCCTCCTTTTATTTCCACATCTCTCCTTCCATGAGCAACACCTTATCTTAAAGTCACTGTATGAGCCAAGCTTCCACTTTTCACTGACTGCCTGTTGTAGTTATCCAAATTATCTTGTACCCAGGCTGCATTCTTAGCCTTGGGTTTTTTTTCAGCTCTTATTCCACAGACTATTATCTTTTATTTGTTCTTACAAGCCTCCTCCTCCCACACACTCCTCCCTACGATGACACTTGACTCAATTTCTGTACCACAGACACTTCCCCTTTCCTGCCTACTACTGTATATGAGATTCAGCTATGCTGAAGTTAGTTCAAGCCCAGCTAAGCTGGGCTGACACAGACTGGATGTGGCCCAGGACCAAGAGGAGTTTTAAAGTCCTGCAGAAGACCCCACGAGTCACTGCTCTGTCTTCCTCACACTCCAGTTCTCTTCCAGAATAAATCACAATTGTTTCTGCCAGTTACACTTGTAAGACTTACTCTATCCATGAAGACTAAGCACTTAATTCCTCATGGGAAAACACCCTTTTCCTCAGAGTCACTTTTCACATTAACACCCATTGCTTATAGCATCAATGCTGTAGTGAGTCATGAGAACGTGCCTTTTCATTACACTGCCATTATTGACAGCCACTTCAATAACACTCCAACCATAACTGGATCGTAACACTGACCACGAACCTGCTGACACCAGGAGCCAGGCCAGGAGCAGAGCTGCAGCAGGGCAGCACACAGGCTGCAGCTGCAGCTCCACAGAAGCGGGGTGCACATCCCACTGGGAGTGCCCTGGGGGTGAGCCCCCTTACCTGAGCACAGCTGCTCAATCTTGGTCAGCGTCAGCTGCAGGGACTCATTGATCCACGCCAGCATGTCATGTCGGCTCAAGTTATCGCTGGTCACTGAAGTAGAATACACATTCACTGCCATTTTCTGAAAGACACAACCAGAGCTGTGAGCGCCACAGCCGCCGGGCAGCGGTGGAGCAGCTCCTCGGGAGCCTTCCCGAGCGGTGAGAAGGGCGACGCGCCCGCGGGCACCGGCACCGGGAGCGCCCTGCGGCACCACCCTGCCACGGGCTGGGCCGCGCGACCGCCGACCGACAACGAGCACCGGGGCGCTCACGTGGGGAACCGCTGCAAGGAATCTCGGCCAGCCACCGATCCCAGCGCCACCGGGAACGGCGGAGGCGCTTCCTGCGCGGCCACGGCGCGTCCCCGGGGACCGACACCGAGCGGCCGCTCCCCGCCCAGCCCCGCCGCGTTCAAACCGGCCCCGCCCGCCCTGACCGGGACCGCGTCACGCGCTCGCTGCGCGCCTGCGTCACGCGCGCGTCACGGCCCGCGCGGGGAGCGCCGCGCGACGGCACGGGGAGGGGAGCCGTTGTCAGGGGGCGGGGCGAGCTGCTTGTTGCTATGGAGATGTCACGCCCGCGCCGCCCGAGGGCTCGCCTGCCATTGGCCGGGCTGCTGGCCCCGCCCACACCGGGGGTCCCGCGTGCCTGAGGGTCGCGCAGGGCTCGGGCCTGAGGGTGCGAGGGAGCCGCGGCGGGAGCCTGAACCCCGGCACTGCCCGGCCATGAACCCCGGCACTGCCCGGCCATGAACCGTGGCACTGCCCGGCCCCGAACCCCGGCACTGCCCGGCCCCCAACCCCGGTACTGCCCGGCCATGAACCCTGGCACAACCGGGCCCCGAACCCCGGCACTGCCCGGCCCCGAACCCCGGCACAGCCCAGCCCCGCCCCGGCACTGCCCGGCCATGAACCCCGGCACTGCCCGGCCATGAACCGTGGCACTGCCCGGCCCCGAACCCCGGCACAGCCCGGCCCCGAACCCCGGCACAGCCCGGCCTGGGACCCCGGCACTGCCCGGCCCCAAATCCCAGCACTGCCCGGCCCCGAACCCCGGCACTGCCCGGCCATGAACCGTGGCACAACCGGGCCCCAAACCCCGGCACTGCCCGGCCCTGAAGCCCGGCACAGCCCGGCCCGGGACCCCGGCACTGCCCGGCCCTGATCCCTCGGCACAACTGGACCCCAACCCCCGGCACAGCCCGGCCCCGACCCTTGGCCCAGCCCGACCCCAAACCCAGCTGCACGGCCCAGCACGGCCCAGCACGGCTCCAGCTCTCCGGGCACACCAGCACCGGCCGCCTTGGTGTCACTGGGGTCACCTCAGCAGCAGCTCGGGTCCCTGGCTGTGCCCTTCCTCCCACTGCGAAGCCCCTTCATTTACCCAATAAGACTGTCCAGCCATACAGAAATACTCGTTTTTAATCAGACACGATAAATGGTAAACTGTCGACATTTTTTTTTTCCCACATGGAAACCAGTGAAATCATGTGGACAAGGCAGAGTTGCGAGTTTCCACACTCCAGGATACAAAAACTGTGAAATGTGTTAAAAAGTATACATTTCTCTCATTTTTAAAAGATTGTATAAAAACCCGCAGCATGTTCAACATTAGAAATCCTTAACCTAAAAAAATAGCACCAGGGAGAGTTAAAAACCTTTAAAAAGTATTAAAAAGGAATTTCTGAGATCCCCCCCTCCCTTAACATTTTATAAACTCAAAATAAAAGGCAGCTCTTACAGGGAAAAACATTTCAAGGAAGACTTGTCTACTACAATTCTCATCAAGAGAGCTTAATGCCAAGACAATTCTCATTCCTCTTTTATCTTTGTTTACTTTCCCCAAGTCCTTTTTTCCCCCCTCATCTATTTGTTTTCCTTTTGATCAGATAGGAAAGGATGTGAGATCTGGAGTATACAAGATCAGGGATGCCATGGAGTGGAGGGCAGTCTGGAAAGATCACGCCCATCAGAGCAGGGGATGGCTGTCACCCTGAGCCCCTGCACTGGATGCCTGTTTGCCCTCAGGCTGGGCTCCAAAGGGGACTGCAAGGACCTGGGATGAGGAATTAGTGTTGTGGCTGGGGTCCAGCTGGACAGAAGGATCACAGATTGGCAACGAGTCCAAAAGCAGCTGGTGCAGCGCTGGCAGTGCCAAGGCTTCCCAAACAGCTCCAGCATGCACAGAGCCCACCCTGCCATCTTCCCAGCACAGGGGCTGGTGGCACGTGTCCCCAAGCACTTGTCAAGCATTGGAGGTGCCAGCAGTGACTTGGACCAGCCTGTCTGGCTTTCCTCAGTTTTCTTAATTAAGGCACGTGGCTTGATCAAGTCACCGAGAATGAACCCCCAAGGAGTTCTCTCTAAAGAGTAACCTCCAGCTTAAAACAGGGGAAAAAAGCCTTTAAACTTTTTTCCCTTGCTGTCCCCTTGCTTCCCTTGGATTGGAGACCAAGAGAAGATGGTTCTCAGAGCTGGGATGGAAAACTGCACACAAGGGTGGGAAATGGGAGGCTGCTGTCCTCCACCACAAGGACAGGGGTGCCAGAGAGGTAGAAGGAGCTGGGAGAGAAGTTCTTCCCAGTGATGCTGTACAGCACCCTGCAAGAGAGCAAGGCAGCCTGGCATTGATTGGGTGGAGGGTTGGCCCATGGTTTGAACCTGAATAATTTTGAGAAGGTGCCCGAGGGCTCTTCCAGAGCCAGGTGACAGGGGAACAGCAGAGGTAGGGGAGGACAGCGGGACCAAGGGGGGAGTGGTTTCAGTGCATTGAAATGTGCATTGGATTCAGAATCCCCAGAGATGCCTGCTGGAACAGTAGCCCGGTGGCTACAGAAAACCTGGCAGAAATGGACACAGGCACCTGCACCTTCCTGCTGACCGGGACTTCATGGAAAGCATGATAATCACTCTGGCAAAGCTGGGGACTAGAGGAAGGCAATCAAAAGTGAGCACAGTGGTGGCCACAGGAGCTCCCAGATTGGGGGTACAGCCCCAGGAGCCCCCAGGCTGGGGCTGGGCACACAATCCCACCTGTGTGCACAGGGGAGGAGAGGTACAGCCCCAGACCCCCCAGCAGTGGCACAGCATGGGATGGGCACAGGCAAGAGCAGTGCTGCACTCCTGGTCCCTGCACTCCACGAGGGCGGGGTGGGATTTTCCCTGGAAGGAATGCCCTGCCACCACTGCTTGGGTTCATGACATCCTACATGACATTTGGGGTGCTGAGATTTGAGGGTGCCATTGACCATTACACTGTCCTTCCTGCTGACATACCACATTCATTTGGGAAATGGATGCTCCAAGAATATTTTCCTTTACAGACCCTGGAGCCCAAATCCTCCCTGCTCTAGTTACTGTGTAAGCTTTCAAACCATTCAGCAGGAATTTAAAATGTAAGGAGAGGTTTTAGATGCTTTAAAAAGGAAGTAGTGAATATTTGTAAACTACAACCAAACATATAAAACAATATTTCTTTAGTTCTAGCTAGAAAAGTAATTCTATCACCTCACAGTTCAGTTTCAGCTACATTCAGGTCTAGGAATCTCCACATTCTTATGTAATGCCTTAAAGCAGCAATAGACATTAAAAAAACAAAATTAAATTTTATCCAAAAAAATAAAAACAAAAAAGATTTGGTTTCTTGATCCTGTGTTCAGTGTGTAACCTGAGCAGGGTCCCTTACACCTGCTGCTACAGTTTGGGGGTTTTTGGCAGTTACTTCAAGAGGTTTTGTTTGTTTAGGAAAAGCACCAATTCACTGTAGTTCAGGTTTGCCTGCAGCTCCCCAGCAGCTGCCCGCACACTGGCTGCTCAGCAAGTGGTGACTTCCCAGCTCCAGGCTAAACAGGAATAGTTAATGCTCTGGAGGATGAGACTCCCGTCTCATCAGTGATGCATAGAGCTTCGTGTGCTGGGTAATTAAAGCTTCGTCCATCATTTCCTACTAGGGATCACTGTTAGTCCCTTTAAAGAAGTTGCCCTGCCAGGTTCTTTGGTTACAGACATTCCCGTGGGGCCAGGCTGCCGTGCCCCGCTGGGGACAGGGCCCTGGCAGTCCGGTGGCCGTGCCCGTCCCTCTCCCGGTGCTGTGCGTCGTTACCAGAGAGACGAGGGACGCTCCGTTTGCTATTCACAGGCAAAGTAATCCTTGAGTGGGGAGAAGAGGTGCCGGATGACAGGGACACTCCACGATCCCCCCAGCAGCTTCTGGCGAGTCCCACGGCTGATGTTGGAGACCTCCGTGTAGGGGAGGGGGAAGCCAAAGATCCTGAGGAGCAGAGGCAGGACAGGTGAGGCAGAGCAGGAGCAGGAATCCCTTTCCCAGGCCACCCAAAGACAATGAGTATCAGGAATCTCCTGTGGGGAGGGGATTCAGCTCTCCAGCCCCACACAACCTGGATGGGGCCAGGCCGTGGCTTCCCACCATCCCCAGTGGCCTGCACCTTGTAGGATTTCCTGGCAAGGCTCCTGTGGCTGGGCATCCAGCCTGCCTCTGCTCAGCAGCACCTCTGCAAGCATTGCCCCAGGGCTACTCCATGGAGATAGGACTGAGTAGCTCTGAGTCATGGGCTGGGCACTTCCCTTACAATCAGACAGATGAAAGTCCAACAGCCATTTCACATGACAAAGGCTTGGAATTGTTATTTTACTTACAAATGCCTTTAGCTCAGTGGTAACTCCAACAAATACTGGCAATTTAAATATAAGCAAGCAAAATTATTTAACCCCAGTCTTGTGTTTACTGGCCAGAAGCACCCACTGTGCAAAACCTTCAGATTTTATCACACATACTTGGTGTAATGGACTGCTTCTAATTGGATTTATCTGCTCCCAGTCCTTCTGCTGTATTTTGCCATGAATTCAGGGTGTGAAGTGTGAAGCAGGGTGCACTCATGCTTTGCCACAGCAGCTGCTGGCTGTGGTGTGAGCTCCTCCACACCACCCACCACAGCCACAGCAGCCACTCAGTTCCCTTCCATAAACCACAGCCAGGCACTGAGCAGGGCAAGGGCTGCCATACAGCACCCCACATCAGCCTGGGCCTGACCCCAAAGGCAGTCCATGTGTGCACCCCCAGCCAGACCCACCAGAGCACCCTGAGCAAGCCCCATCACTCCTCCCTCCAAAACCTTCAGGGCCAGGGCAGGGGATGCTGCTACACTTCTCCCCCGCAGTCTCATCATTGCTTATTAGTAAGAGCATTAATTATCGTGTGCACATCACTGCAGGGAAGCTGCCCCATGCGGGAGCTCTAGCTCTTTGCTCCCAGGAGCTGGGCTTGGCGCCAGGGAGACAAAAAAACCCGAATGGGCACTACAAAACAAACCAAAACCACCGTGAGAGATCCAAGGACAGCAGACTGACTGATTACCTGTCCATCCCAGGGAGGTTGCCCCAGAAGTAACGAGCTCGGTGGGCAGCTGATATCTTGATTGCATCAATCATAACTGGGTTACACTGCAAGCCAAAATGAGGGGAAATAAAAATTAGAAAAAAATGTTGGCTTGATTCTCTCCTGCATGAACAGGCCTTCCCACTGCACTGCAGGGACTTAAGTAGTTAGGAAATCCTCAAAATGTTGTAGCTCCCACAAACCCTGTTTCACACCAGAGAACAGCTCGGGTGGCCACATGAGCTCCCAGGCCATGGCCAGCAGCTATTGCCCATCACAGGGTGCTCAGTGCTGGTTCCCAGGAACCAGGATCAGCCTTCAATGGTGATTTTACACCAGTGGTCCCTGCTGACTCACAACTCACCCTGGCTACCACAGAGTTAAAACTCCTTCCCAGTCCCTGACCCCCCTCTCCCTAGAAATAACAGGCATTGCTGGGAACAGATGCTTTCTGAAAGGCTGGCAAAACCCCTCCCCCAGAGGACTTGTGCTTGGGTTTGACCTGATGAAAGCCAGAGGGGAGGATCCAGAGCCAAGACTAAACTTGATTCCTTGGCATGTGCACCAGGCAGGGGGTTTTCCACCATCAGGGCCACAGGAAACCACAGCCAGACCTTCACACCCGGCACAGCCCAGCAAATGTCACCTGCTCCAACGCCTTTCCCACAGCTGTCAGCAATCCCTACCTCCAGAAACCGGGAAATGTCCCTCTTGTCGTTGATCCTCATGGCCACCACGTTCTCAAACATCCAGAAGAAGGGCCGCTCCTCGCCCGCCTTGGGACGAGCGTAGTTGAGCAGGTGGTAGAACTCGAAGAACAGCCGCCCGGTTCCTTCTGCAGGGAAAAGCCGAGCAGAAAAAGCAGGTTGGGACCAGCTGGGGCACGGGCTGGGGGGCCTGGCTGCCCTCCCCACCAAGATGGGTATGGAGATAGCCCATCACCAATACAGCCTGGGGCTGAACCACCACCCATAAAGTGGCTCCACAGCCCAGGAACATCCCAAGGCATGCAGCCCAGCAGAGGCAAAGCAGCCTTACCAAACAGCGCCTTCCTGGTTGGATTGACAAGGGAGACGTCGTCGCAGGGGCTGCCACCGATCACCAGGTCAAAAGGACCCCACTCCTCAATCTACAGAGAATAGACAATCCAGACCGTTAGGGGATGCCACAGAAATGGGTCTCTCCTCCCCGATGGGGCAGGGCACAAGCTTGTCCCAGAGCTGGCGGGGTGAGACCCATGCCCCCATGGTGCCATGTCCCTCAGGCCCCCACAGAAGCAGAGCTCACATTTCTCTTGGTTATGTTCCTGACATCGTGCACGTAGGTGATGTTGCCCTCGGGCCGCACTTTGCCCGTGGCGATGGGCTTCTCACAGATCTCTGAGGCAATGTACTTCTCCACTTGGATGCCCAAGTCCTTCAGCACCGTGTACCCTGCCAACGGACAGAGGTCTGAGGTGACACTGCTCTCTTTAGCCTCCAAGTCTCCCTCGTCAGCACCGCTCGATGTGGTCGCTCCTGGATGTCCTAGGTGGGTGTAGTCAAACAGCACTTCAGGGTGAGTAAACTTTTATTTGACCCATTCCTCCAGGCAGGTTTGCTCCCAGAATGCAGAATGCCAGAGCTGAGTGAACTGAACCAAACCAGTTGCCCTCAGGCACTTCAGAGTACAGGTTACTGGTGTCCCCACAGCTCTGGCTTCTCAAGGGAACCAGCCACCCCAGATCACACTTGGCACAGCAGGAATACCTCTGTGAGGTGCCCACACATGCCCTCCCCTCCATCCCTGCTTTCCTCCACAACCCTGTCCAGCAGGAAAGGCAGACCCTGCCCTCATCCCTCTTCTGATGGGGATGTCACTGCTGTCACCCCCTCCTCCCCACCAAGCTTTTAGAGACAGGTTTGAGCCCACGGAATGATTCATGCCCAATGCCCAGTGCTAAGAGCTGCCCAGCAGTGCTTCCCTACTGCCTCACCTGTTGTCACCCCATCGAACAACGAGAGCACTCGAATTGGTCTCCTCTTCGCTGGAGGAACTGTTGGGTAGATTTTGGGTGCAGCCTGCAATGGAGACAGCCATGAAGCCCCAGCCCTGGCAGTGCTGCATTGTCCCATTAGGCTCTGAATGCAGCACCTGCACCTTCAGGACAGCATCTGCAGGACCAAGAGCCTGGCACCCTTGGAAAGGGTGGGTGAACAAGACCAAGGCAGAGGGAAGAGAAAATCCAGGTAGCTCACCCTGCCCTCAGTGACCCTCTTCCCCACATCCCAGCACATCAGGCTCCCTGCCCCCAGCCCTTACATATTCCTGTCCCTTGTCACTGGTGAAGAAGTCCTGCAGGCGTGTGTTCCAGTCCTGCCGGCGCTGCAGCACGCCGCGGCTCTGCTGGGGCTGGCACATGTAGCAGTTCCAGGGCTCCTGCTCTTTTACTCTGGATGACGTCCCTCGCCCCACCAGCACATCCAGACACTCCACACAGAAGCACCTGCCCAAACCACAACAGCTTGTGCTTGTCACCCCAGCAACCCCTTTGGTCACCCCAACTTCTCCTGGAGTCTCTCCTGCCATGCACCAGAGCCCCCACCATTTTACAGGATCTTTTTCCAGGCAGTGCCCTGGTTTTTAGGGCTGCTAACACAAGCTGGTGGATCAAGGCATGGGTAAGTCTCCAGCCAACCTCCACAGGGCTTATTCAGGTGATACCCAGCTCAGTAAGGGCAAGTAGGCTGTGTTGGGATATGCTGCATGGCAGCCAGCTGGGGAGAAGCACGCCCCTGCCCAGGCTCATGGAGGATCCTGCTTCCAGCAGGAGCAGAGACATGGGGCTCACCTGCAGCAGCTGGCGTTGCTGCAGAGCAGCAGCTCCTTGCCAGCACAGCAGACGGTGCAGTAGGACTGGTACCCATCTTCATCATACATGTAGAAGTACTCCAGGAATCTATCCTAGCAAAAGGACATCCAGGAGCAGAGGACAGAGGATCAGGAACCCTGCTCAGACGGTGGAGAACACAGCTTTGCTTCATTCCCAGCGCACGCCGAGATTTTGGGGATGCACATCCTCAGTGTTTCAATGTGGTGAGGACATGCCAAGGGACAGCTCCGTGGGAGACACAGCATGGCCTGGACCTGGCACAGCCAGCCCCTGTCCCAGCAGCACTGGCTGCATCCCAGCCCCACCCTCAGGCCCCAGCACAGCAGCACTTACCCTGCATGTCTGGCAGAGGCCCCCCTTGAACAGCGGGTGGAAGGTGGCTGGGTTCCTCCTCCCGCAGGACAAACAGCTCTCTGTGGGACAGAGAGAGCTGCGCTCACCCAGGGCAGGGAGCACCCAGGGCAGGGCCCCCTTACACCCACCACAGGCTGCAGAGGCTGGAGCCTGGCCTTGGAGCCATGGCTGGATAAAGGCTGCGCTCAAATGCTGCCCTTGGAACTGCATCCAGATGTGGCTGTGGTTCCCATGGAGGATCTGCTCAGCACCTGTCCCCTCTGAGCACCCTGTGCCCATGAGCACCCTGTCTCCCTGAGCACCCTGTCCCCCCAAGCACCCTGTTCCCCTCCTACATGGTGCAGTTGAAAAGGGACCCACGACCCTTGCTGGGCACCCCCAGCACCTCACACCTCTTCCAAGGAGAGACAGGGCCAGTCTTTACCTTCCAGCTTCCCGCTGTTGTTCGTGACTTCAGAAACCATTTGCTCTTTATAAATTTGAAAAGAAAAAAAAAAGACATTATCATTCCTTGTTACAAACTTTAAATGCACTCTGCTTACAGGTGCCTTATTTCTTACATTAGAATTACTCCAGCTTTGCTGAGATTTTGGTGCAAAGCCCACATCCTTGACTGATGGAGATATTAGAGCTCAGTGTAGCAGCACATGGTCATGCTCCAAGCTGAGCCACTGATGGGCCCAGCCCATGCCTTGCAGTTGGGTTTGCTGGTGTCTTGTAAGGCACAAGTCAGCACCACCAGACCACAAAAGCTTTTCCCTTCAGAAACCAGGCTCATGGCTCCTGGGAAGAGCCAAGCCCTTTGCCAGGATGGTTTCCCAGAGCTCTTGGGGTGCACAGCCCAGGCCAAGCCACTCCCCAGCTCTCTCTGTTGGTTACCTCGGGTCTGGTCCTCTTCCACACGCTGCTCCTTGCTGCTGTTGCAGGGGTAGGTCTTCAGCCTCTTGGTGGGGGGACACTGTTCAAGGGACACCACCTCCTCTGTCCCATTCCTCAGCACCCCATTCTCTGCAAGGAAAAGGAACCTCCTTAAGGACAAACCTCCAGCCTCAGGACTGGCCCAGGGCACCGCCTGCCCAGGTCTCACCCCAGCCCCAGCAGGACCCTTCCTGGCCACCCAGGTCCTCACACATGGCACAAGGCTCTGCCAGGTCTGATTTCCATGGGGCTTTTGCCTCAGCTTTTTGCAGTGCCACTGAGAGTCCCAGAGAGAAGCCCCAGGATCCCCTTGGGACTGGTCTGGCATGACCACAGCACAGGGTGAGCAGGCTCAGCCAGGGGCAGCCCCCAGTGCCACTGCCCATGCCAGCCCCCAGCCAGCTGATGCCACCACCTCACCTGAGCCTTTGGGCGGCCGCAGTCCCTTGAGCCCCAGGGGTTTGAAGCCAGTGATTGCCCAGTCGATCATGGGCTTCAGCTGCTCCTCCAGGGACTCCCTGGGGCCAGTTGTAAACGTCTTCCCCGACCGGCTCCGGGCCACCTGATGAGGATGGGCAGTAGGGGACAGGGTGACAGGGTGGTCTCTGTCAGGGGAGCAGCCACAGCCTGCCAGGGCCACAGCCCCAGGCCCCCTCCTCACCCAGCACCCACACACACACGGCTTGGTGGCCCTGGGATGGTGGCAGCTGATGGATTCCCACTCTGGGTGTGCCCTTAGCCACAGCCCCTGCCTCCATCCCTGCAATGAGCCCATCTGTCCTCCACCAGCCCCAACGGAGCCAGAAGCAGGGACAGCCCAGCCAAAGCTCTTGCCCAGATTCTGCTCCATGGCAAGTGCCAGGAAGAAAAGGCAGAGGAGATGTCTGTGGGTCTGCACTTCAAAGGGCATCCTGCCCTGACCTGGGACACCTCTGGCCAGCCTGGCACTGCCATGTCCAAGCCCTCCCAGGGAGTCTGGCCCAGGGTTCTGGAGCAGTGAGACCCTGGAGCAGCAGCAGCTGCCCCAAAACCCTCAGGATAAGCAGAATTTGGCCCCACAGCTGCACTTGGAAATAATCTCAGCAGTGAAAGGAGGGTTGTGCTGCACCCCTCCCACTGGCCCCCAGCCCAGCTGGTTCATCTGGCACCTCCTCACCCACCCCCCACCCCTGGTGGTTACCTCCAGAGCGTGGTAAATGGCACGGCGGTAGGACACCAGCTTGTTGAACGTGGAGGAATTGAAATGCTGCCTGAAGGCCATCAGTCCCACCAGTTTGTCTGCAGAAACCTGGGAGAGAGCACCAAGACCTCACCTGTGAGATGGGAATGCCCTGCTGGCCATATGCCCCCAGCACTGTGCAGTCCCCAGCTCCAGCACTGCGGCCACAGGAGGAAGCCCAGTGGCAGCTTTGCCAAGAGCAGCAGCATGACAAGGACGGGTGGGTTGCACCCTCTGCTGGCACTGCTGGCCTGACACCAGCACAGCACTTCCTCCCTCCTGCCTGCAGCGTGGGAGGGGTTGGTGTCCTCATTGGATATAGGACATATCCTCATTGGATATTAGGAAAAGGTTCATGGTTGGGCACTAGAACACACTCCCCAGGGAAGTGGTCATGGCAGGAGCCTGACAGAGCTCAAGGAGTGTTTGGATGACACTCTTGGGCATATAGTGGGAATTTAGGGCTGTCCTGTGCAGGGAAGGAGTGTGACTCGAAGATCCTTGTGGGTCCCTTCCAACTCAGGATACTCTGATTCTATGAGGGGCTCTGAGGGCACATCCCTCCCCAGGCAGTGAGTGACAGGGAAAGCTCTGGAGCATGGACAAAACCCTCTGAAGTGGCCAGACAGATGTCCCCATGTCTGAATGATGTCACCAACCTACCAGTGATTAGTTACAGACACCAGAGCCATGAGAACCTGCCAGGGCCTGGCCATGCTTAACACTGGGAGGGGAGGCCTGGGAGGCTGCAGGAGCACATCCACCCCCCTCAGCCAGCCTCAGGAGTGGGGCAGAGACGTGCAGGGAAGGGTGTTTTGGGCTGGGCCAAAACAGAGTCCCAGCTCTCTCTTACCTCGGAGAACTTCCCGTCTCCAAACCACTGCACCCACCGCATGCCCGACACCGCCTGGCGCTTGGCCGTGGCTCTGTGCGAGACGACGATCGCAGGCCACCAGGAAAAGCCTTTGATCTTGCCCCAGACAAGCTCCCCAATTCCAAATTCCTTCCCATCCTGAAAGCACAACACAACAGATCAGCGAGAAGTACAAATTCCCCGTTTTGTCTGGGCAGTTGGTCAGGAGAGCCCTGGAGCACAGGAGAGCCCTGGTGTGTCACCATGTGTGTCACGCGTGTGGAACCTCTGTGCAGTGATCTCCAAAAACTGCAACCCCTCCCTCAGTCATAGGGCCAAGCCATTCCCCCCTGGCAGCACTGTATCCCAGCCCTGATCCCTGCTGAAGCTTGGTGGGGAGGCCTGTGTGTGCCAGCCCCGTGCTGAGCCCGTGCCTGGCACACGGCGTGGTGCGTGCTCCATCCTGCACAGCCCACCTGGCACCGGGCCCGTGCGTGTCCACTCCTGCCTGCCCTCCCAGGGTCTCTGCAAACACGGGGAAGCCTTGCACCCAGGCTGTTCCTGGTGCCCTCAGCAGATGAGGCTCCTCCTTGGCACAGAACAGCCCCCTCACAGGACTCACACACAGCCTGTGTGGTGTGGCTGCACCCAGGGAGAGGACACCCACCCACCCTCCTCTTTTCCTGCTGGGGAGAGCAGGAAATGTGGCAGAGCTAAAACAGAAGAAAAAAAAGAGCCAAGAATTTTGGTGGGACCCGTCGCAGGCCACGCTGGGTGCTGTGCACAGCAAGGAACCTCACACGTAGAAAAGTCACCTCTCTGCCTGCAGAGCCCTCCTCCCCAGCTTTGCTCTGCAATTACATACTTAATTATGCAGCAAGATGCAATTGCCCAATTCCTGCAAGTCTGGGGCCCTGCCCTGCGGCCCGCAGGCACCGAATCCTGCTCTGCAGCCCCAGCAGCTTTGCTTCTCTCCAGCATCCCCGACAGAAATGTTTTCTGCACATGCAACTGCCTGTCTGAGCATGGCACACGGCACACTCGTGTGTCTCGGGGGGCCCACGTGTGGCACCAGTGGCAGCTTGGCAGAGCTGGTCCCCAAAGCACCCCAAGCCTGATAGATGGAGACAGCCTGGCACCATCAGGCATGCAGGGAAGGGTGGGCAGGAGAAACAGCACTGAGGTTTCCCAGTTTGTTTTGGGACAAGTGACAGAGGCTCATCCCTGCCCCACACCACCCTGGGTGCAGGAGCAGAGCTCAGCCCCTCCGTACCTGGTATTCCAGGGCCATGCCCATGTCTCTGCTCTCTGCCTCCTCGGCCCCCAGCTCAGCAGAGCCGTTCTGCCCCTCCTGGGAGCTGCCACCCGAGAGTGTGCTGCTGCTCTGGGACGAGTCCTGGGAGTCCTCCTCCTCCGTCAGGTCGATGGTCACGGGCGTGGGCACGGCGGAGCGACGCCTGGAGCTCTGCATGGCAGAGGCAGAGGAGTGTGAGTGCAGGGGGAGCAGAGACCTGCCCCACATCACCCCCATTCCCCACATCACACCCAGCCCCGTGTCATCCCCCAGCCCTGCAGCTGGGATCGGAGAGGGGCAGCCAGGCAGTGAGGGCACCACTGCAGCCATGAATAGAGAGGAGAGCCATTAATGGGGGCATCTGCAGGAGAACTGCTCTGCTTCTACCTGCCAGACCCAGAGCAAACGGTGCACCACTGCCCCCTCCCATTTTCCTGTCCCAAATCCACCCCAGGGTGCTCAACACACCCAGTTCATAGCAGGGGCAAAATACAGCACAAAAACACCCCTTCACAGGGGAAACTGAGGCACGGGCAGGCTGCACCATCTCTGAAGACACTTGACCAGGGCACAGCAGCAGTGCAGGTCCCTGGAGCACAAGGGAAGCCCCAGGGAAGCCCTGGCCCTGCCAGACCCTCACCCTCACAGGAGTTGGCAGGTCCCTGAGAGGCTCCACACTGCGTGCTGGGTCCTTGAGCCGCATCTCCTGCCGGGTCCGCCCTGCCTGCAACGGGAGGCACAGGGTGGGCTTCTGCCTCAGGCTTCTCCTGAGGCTGCTCTTCCACCCAGCCCTGCCCCAGGGTTGCACCTGATACCACAACACAGGGGGCACAGCATGGGTGCCCTCCTCACACAGGGACACGGACATTCTGTGCCTCATGGGGCTGAGCACCACGGGCAGTGCCCTGAGGAAGGTGAGAGGAGACAGATGGATGCTGGAGGCACTTTGTGCTGAGCCCCTGTGGGTAACTTTCTACTACACAGCATCTCTGCAAGGCTGAGGAGCCCCACTGCTGCAGCCCACTGCACCCAGAATGATAGAGAGAGCAGGAGGCACAGCTGGAGGACTGGGATGCCAGGAGAACCACAGACCACATCCCAGGCATGGACCACTCTCACACCCTGGATGCTCTCACTCTCCCATGGGTGCTGTTTCCCACAGCAGCCCTGCAGCAGCACCCAGGGCAGCCCTTCCCTGGTGGTCAGAGTTACAGCCCATCCCAGACTTGCTGCCTGCACCCAGCATAACAGAGGTTCAAAATTAAATGAGATTTTGCAGTGAAACGCCCCCAAACTAAACAGTGGGAAAGATCAATTTTCACCCACTGGATTTATGGCTCTTTCTTTTGGAAGCTGCCTCATCTCAGGCAGATCTCCAGCCTTGGGTTTTAATTCTAGCTCAAAACAATAAAGCCAGAAGGCAAAAATGCTTCCAGACCCTGGAGGTGTGTCAACAAAAGAGGGTGAGTGAAATTGAGGTCCAGCCTCACAGCAGCTAAAAGTAGCTCACCCCAACAGTGGGAGGCATGAGATGCTCCAGTGTATCAATACAGCCAAGACTTTAAAGAAAATATCAGCATATTTTATTAGGCTGCTGCAACATGTAATGGCCATTGCTGCAACCCACACCACCCCCTCCTACTGTTGTATCATGAGAAGCAGGAATTTAAAAATTAAAACATTACACTGTGAGTATTGCATTCATCACTGGACTGCTCCTCTGGCACTGAGCACAAGAGAAGCCCAGAGGGAAAGAGATGAGGATCCTGGCACCAGATACCACCCACAGACAGCCCCCAAAAAGCACCCTAGGTGTTCACTTACCCTCTGCACTTGCAGATCGAGTGGCCAGGCCAGGTCCTCCTTGGAGAGGTCTCCATTGCTGTTCTTCTCCTTCTTCAGGGGCAGCAGCCCCAGGCCCCTGGAATCTGTGCAGAGACAAGACAGAGCAGCCTCAGGCTCTGCAAGCCCTCCTGGCCGTGTCCTTGCATGCCCCAGCCTCCCACTGCTCCCACAGCACAATTTGGAGGCACCAAAACCTCATCTCAGACAAACGTGGCTGGGGGCAGAGACAAGAGGTGTCCCCAGGGCTCCCCACTGTGGCAGCACAGCCCCAGATCACCCACCTGTCCCTAAAACTGGGAGGGACTAGCAGCATGCATGGGGACATTCTTATCCACTCCCCTGTTCCTGAAAGCTCAAGAGGCACAAGGAGGCCACGTGCCAGCTCTTCTGGGCTTGTCACCAGGTCATTTACAGCAGGACCTTGTGAACCCAAGAGGTGGGATTTGGGAACCCTGACTGGAGAATCCCAGGAGCAGCGATGCAGCCCCTCAGGTCATTGGCACCCCTCAGGCTGGAGGGGCTCCCCTGCTTTCCTCACTCCATGGGAGTTAAACTATGGGGGGCAGAGCCAGCATCCCAGTGTGGCACCCATTCCCACAACCACAGCATGGCCTGGATGTGCTCCTGGGTCACAGAAATCCACTGGGGTCATGGGGGGACTCTGGCCACAGCCACAGCACTCCATCTCCCAGCAGGGCATGGGACAGAGGCTGTGACATCCCCATCCCTGTGCATGCCTGGAGCACTCTGGGCTCAGTGTGGTCACCCTCACCTGGAGTGCTGGGCTTCCCATTGGCCTCCAGGACAACGCCAGGTGCATTGTCCCTGTTGATGAGGATCAGCTTTGCCCTACAGTCTGCCTCATCCTGCCCGTGGCTCTTGTCCTTCTTCATGGTTGCCTGTAGAAGCCAGAATGGAAAGGAAATTCAGCTGTGCAAGGAAGCCCCAGGGAGGGCAGAGCAGACAGTGAGGTCCTTGAGCCAGCTTTAACTCTGTGCCCTTAGCAGAAGGGTCTGACTGGCGATGCAACTAAAGGTGCTGGGAAATAAACAGCACTTGCACATAACCTCCATACAAACGTGGTGGCCCTAAAGGTCAATCAGCTCCATCTAAAAGAGGTCCCAGATGCAACCCACTTATCCTTAGGGAAACACCAGGTTTTCCCCCAACATCTGCATGCTGGCTCGGAGCTGCCAGCTCACCCTGTCTGGGGAGGAGCTGCACTTCCCGGCCACCCTGCAGAAACCAGGGGCCAGCCCACCCCTGGGGCCAGCCCACCCCTGGGGCCAGCCCACCCCTGGGCCACCAGCCTCCCCGTGTTCCAGCTGCCCAGCACGCCCAGAGGCGGGTGGGCTGTTCCCTCTGGAGCAGGACAGGCAGGCAGCCCGCCATGGGGGGCAAAGTCCTGGAGCCTGCATTAAACTCTCTCCGAGGAGAAAACTCCTCCTGCCCCAGGGTGAGGGGCAGAGCAGGGGGCTGTGCATCCTGGCAGCCCCTGCCCGGGTGTCCCCTGCAGAGCTGGGGCTCGCCTTGCTTGCTGCCTTCCCTTGGGTGCCCTCCCTGGCTCCTGTTTTCTGGAGTGGGAGCTCCCAGCTCTCCCAGAGGCAGCCGGATGCCATGAACTGTGCTGCCTCACTGCCGGGCTATGGGTCTGTGCTACAACTTGCCTCTTCAGCAGCACAGTCATTTCAGCAGCACTGAGAAGCTTGCAGGGCTTTGCCCACCTACAGCCCTGTTAGGAAGCCAAAGTGACACTCCCTCAGCCCCAGAGACCCCAGCTCCAGCCCCTTCTATGTCACTCTCGTTCTGCGTCGCCTCCAAGCACTGCCCTAACAATTGAGATTTCTGCTTTGAAATCATCTGTCAGCACCTCCGACAAACAAAGACCAGTTGGAGTTTGATGTTTTTGGACGCAGAGGGCAGAGTTAAAAACCTGGTAACACTCAAACACAAAGAAAAACAGGTGTCCAGCGCCCACCTCCACAGGCAGAAACCTCGGTGCACATACTGCCTCCCCCCTGGACAAAGGGAGGAGGAGAGGAATGGCACCAGACTGCATAACCCCCCACAGCTGTGTGTGCAGAAATCCCTCTGCTGCAGCACATCTGCTCCCGGACCCAGCAAACAATTCCTGGGAGCTGCCCAGACTCGCCGCCTGCCCCCGGCCCCGGCGGATGGTCCCACATGGCCCCAGATGCTCCAGGATGCAGCAATCCACCACGGCACAGCACAGCCAGGTCAGGGCCAGCTCCTCCTGGTCTGCTCCCCCTCCCCAGCCCACAGTGCTGCAGCGCAGCAGCAGCCATGACTGGCAGCAATGCTGCCACCAAAACCAGCAAAACTCACCAAAAAGTGAATCTCCCTTGGGAATCCCTACAGGGAGGCTGCTCTCCCAGCATGGGGGTGATCTGAACCAGAGGGTACAAGGAGATGGAGCTGCATGAGGCAGGCAAGATTCAAGGAGGGCAGAAGCAGGCAAGGATATCTCCCAGCCCTCCCAAACATCTACACCCACAAAACTCCACTGGGACTCTCAACCTCTGCATTCATTCCTTTGTCAGGAACCTGAGTCCAGGAAGTTCAAACTTGCACTTCAAAATGGCTTTTCCTTCCTCAGCCCCACGACTGCCTCATGTCCAGCACACCAGGCAAGAGTGTCCTGTCAGCCTAGCACTGGGGAAGTGAAGGGCTAAGGTGACACAGTGGCCAGGTCTCCCCAGGGACAGAGCCAGGACTGAACACCTGATGCCCCAAGCTCAGCTTTGCCACGTGCTCAGGGAGCTCCCACACAGCTTTTATTCCTGTTATAAAGTGGGGAAAAAAAGGGTTATTCTTTTGGAAGGAGCTGCTGGCTGGCAGAGCAGAGACCCGCAGGTCACAGCTCTGTGGGTCCATGGCACGGGCCACAGGCCCTGCCGTGAGCACAGGCACGTCAGCTCCCTGCTTGGTCCGTGCCCTTCTCCAGCTGCACTGCCCAGGATCACCTGAGGACATCCTGCCACCATCCTCTGACGGGAAAGGGAACAGCAGAGCATGGCATAAACTGCTCATTAAAAGTGCCTCTCCCAAAATCCTAGTCCTGTGCAGCACGACTGCAATTCCCACCCCTGCTCCTGCTGTTTGCACCAAGTGCTGCAGGCACACGAGCCCATCCTGCTGCCCGCTGCCCAGCCAGGGTCCCCTGCAGGAGCCACATCCCTGTGAGCTCACCCCCTCCTCCTCGGGAGGAAGGCTTGGTTCTTTGTCCTCGCCTCCCCTCGCAGAAGCACACCAACATGTGCACTCAGGGCATTAATAATAAGAAACAGAGCACTGCCCTCACATGGGCTGGCTCATGGGAGACCAACCCTGCAGTGTTTGCATTGCCCAGTGCCCTGCAAACACACCGGCTGCTCCACAGCCATGCACTCCAGACAGGAATCCATGAGGAGGCAAATAATGCACAATTCCAGCTCCATTGCCAAAAGCTCCCCAAAAACCCGGCACCAGCGGCAGCCCCGGCACTGCCTGGTGACCAGGACGTGCCCTGCAGCCAAATCCCACCCGAGGAGACAATGAACCCACTGACTCCACAGCCCGCCCTCATTTTGCAATACCAGTTTCTTTAAGATTTGCCAAACTGGTTAAAGACCATGCCACAGCATTAACTGCTTAGAGAGAATTCTGGTCCCTGCCTGGCCACGGCTGCTGGCCACCCTGCAGCAGGCAGAGCAGGCAGAGTGGGCAGGATGGCTGGGCTCACCTGGCAGGGAGGGCAGGGTGGGCAGGGCTCACCTGGCCGGGCCATGCTCTGGACTGCACCCCTGCCCCTGCTCCCGGGGCTGCTCCTCCAGCCTGGCCCAGGCTGATTTCAGTTTTCCTTGCTGGGAAAAGAGGCCGCCCTGTTATCAGGTGCATGTCCCCAGGAGGTGGGGAGGTTTCGGACTTTGCCTCCAGACAGGGGCATGCATATCAAAAGGCTGGAGGGAAGCTTTACCCATGGCTGGGATGGAGCCATCGCCCAAGCCCTGTTTGAATAACAAAAAGAAATAAAGGACCCTAATGGCCGGGCTGGCTCTGGGCTGTGGTGCACACTAATGGCCTTTAAGTCTCCCCAAACCGAACATTTCCCTCTAATCCTGGGAAGAAAGGAGTTGCTGGGTTGGCAGTTCCGTAAGAAAGGCGCGGATTCCGCAGATGTGCTCGTTGGGAAGGGCAGGGGGCGAAGGGCAGGCTCCCCCTGCCCGCTTCCTGTGCCTGGCCTCTCTGCGCTCCCGCTCCGGCACTTCCCTCCATTTCCCCCGGTTTCCTCCTGCCCCGCTCCGCTCCCCCCGCAGCCCTCGGCGCCCACCCCGGCTCTCCCCGCTGCCTCTCAGCAAAGCCGGGTTAAAGAAAAGAAACAAAACACAAACCGGCCCCTCCTCTCCCAGCGCAGACCAGGCTGGAGACGTCTCCCGGACAGCCACCATCCCCGCCAGCCGCTGCTCCAGCGGCTTCGGGCTCTTTACCATGTTCATCCCGCCGGGATGCGCCCGGGCCGAGCCCCCCGGCGTGGGGCAGGGGCTGCCGGCGGGCGGTAGCTGCGGGCAGGGCTGGAGGCTCTGGGGGCTCTGGGGGCTCTCAGCACAGGTGAGGCTCTCTCAGAGGTGGCCAGTCTTCTGTCCGGAGTCGTCACCGCTTCATTCTCCCCCTGAACAAGAGGACCAAAGATGACAATGACACCTCGCTGTCCCCACGGCCGCCCGTCCAGCCCCGTGCAGCCCCAGAGGCGGGACTGGGATACCCGGCCTCCCTCCTCCTCAGCTGATTAAAAATTTGGAAACTGAGGCAGGAAAGGAGAGTACCAGTACTGCTCAGGGCAGCACGCTGCAGCCGCCCCCTCCTTGCCCTCTCCCGTTCCGAGGGAGGTCGGTGCAGGAGCACCTCTTGCCCCAGAACCACCACTCGCCCAGGGTCCCCCCACCGCTCCCCTCTCCCGGCTTCCTGGGACTTGTGCCCCACGCTGGGGCCACTCCGAAGAGTTCATTCCTGCTTCTCCGATGATCTCCCCTCCCCGGAGGCTCCCCGCGGGCTCGGCAGGAGGCGGATGCCAGCACAGCCCTCCGGTCGATACCTGCTCCGGCCACCCCGTCCCTCCGGATCGGTCCCGGGGAGGCTTCGCGCCCGAGGCGCCGCCGGGAACCTCTTTTCCTGCCAACAGAGAGGGAAGATGCGCTGTCAGATCCCCCGACCGAGAACCGAAAACAAAGGTGCTCGACCCGGGGCAGCAGCGCCACCGTGCCCCGGTACCCCCGGCAGCTCCCCACGGTGCCCCCGGCCTGGAGGCGGCGCTGCCCGGGACGACCGAGCCGGGCAGGGGGACCCCGGCCCCCCCGAGCCACCCCCGCCCCGCAGCCATCCCGGGCCGTACCAGCGGGGCCCCCCCCGCCGCAGCCCCCGGCTCAGCCCCGGCTCAGCCCCGGCCCGGCCCCGCGGGTCGCGGGGGGGTCCCGCACCGGCGCCGCCGTGACAGTCCCGGGACGCGCCCCCGGGGCTTCCGCGGGAAACTCCCAAAGCTGCAACGGGACCGGAGGGGTGGGCGGGACCAGGGGGACTGCGGGGACCATGCCCGAAGCTGTGCGGGCAGCGATCCCTACAGCACGCCCCAGAGCCGAGTGCCGGCAACAAGTGGCGGTCGGGCCCACGCCCTGCCCTCTGTCCCAGCCCCCGGGGCGAAGCCGCGAGCTCCCGGTTACCGGGCACCGGGGCCGCCAGACCGGCCGGGGCGCTCCCGCCGCGGCGCTCCGGTGCGCCCCGTGCCGCCTTCCCCTCCCGCCTCATTGTCCCCCGCCACCGCCGCGGACAACAAAGCCGCCCACGAGGATGTGCCACGGCTCCGGCTCGGACCCTCCGGTGCCCCCGGTCCAGCGCTCACCTGCGCCGCGGCGGGACGCGCCGTCCAGCGGGGCCGCGCCGCCGCTCGCCGCTGCCCGCGCCCCGGCCGGCCCCCGACAGCCCCGCGCTCCGATTACATGGCGTTTTAACCCTGCCCGTGCTGGGCAGCCCCTCCTCCTCCTCCTCCTCCTTCGCCGCCCCACGGCGGGGGAGGGGAGCGCGGGGCCCGCAGCACCACCGCACCCGCCAGGCCCCCCGAGCCCATCGGGCGCGCAGCCCTCGGGGTCCCGCATTCCCCCAGGCCCCGCATCCCCCGGGGCGCCACATCCTCCCCGCCGCGACTCCTCACCCCCCGGTGCCCCAGTGTGTCCCGTCCACTGCCCCACATCGCCTGGGACCACCGCCTGGTGCCCCACATCCCCCTTGCCTCGGCTCCCCGCGCACCCTCCCGGTGCTCTGCATCACCCTCGCGGGGCTCAGCATCCCTCTCCGGAGGCTCCAGGTTCCTCCGGTGTCTCACACCCTACCGGGGCTCCCCACCCCCTGGTACCCGCCGGCGTCCTGGTATCACTCCAGTGCCCATCATCCCCCAGGGTTCATCATTCCTCCGGGGCTCGGCCCTCGGGGCCCCACGCAGCTCAATCCCCGAGGCAGAGGAGACTCCCTTGGCACCCCAGGGCCGGGCAGAGCCCTGGCCCACCGAGCCACGGCTCTGCCCGCCGGTTTCCAGCAGCACCGTGCCCCACACAGCCCCATGCACCACAAACCCGGCAGACAAAGCCTCACAAGTTTTACATTCAGTTTTTGTTTGTTCTTTCCCTTTCCCGTCCCGAGGCAAGACACTTGCAGGGCTGTCCCGGGGCCAGGGACAGAGCCCGCGCCTCTCCTGCCCCAGACAAAGCATCCGGAGTCCACGTGGGGTATAATCTTCCCTGCTTGCCTGTTATTACTTCTGGATTCAGCAGAAAAGTGTATAACAGTAAGAAAAGCAGTATGATTATCCTGGTGTGATAGAAATGAGCTTTCAAGGTCAGGAGGAAATCTTAGCTAGCCAAAGTGTCTGAAATCTGCAGGACCAGCCCCAGGCCTTTACAGCAGGTTCCCCCAAACCACACCTCCATCCCTGCAGAACACAAGCATGAAAAATTTGGCAGCAAATGTAAAAAATGCTCTGCAAGTGAACAGGAGGAGTTGAGAAACCCACTCTGAATAAACCCCTGGGGATACTAAACATCACCATTCAAACAAACATGCACCACAAACCTAAAGCAAATTCACAGCTCAGGTGAGTAGATTAAAACAAACAAATAGATTTTACACCCATTTGTTTTTCCAGATTAAGGAAAGGGAAATGCTTTCGAGAGCTGTGCTCATGAGAGTTTCCAGGGCACTGTGAGGGTGGAATCAGCCCTTCCAGCATCCACAGGTTCCTCTCCCTTTCTACGGAAACCTTCCTGCTGCTGTTGGCCTCACTGACCTGCCATCAATCTCCCACCAGCCGAAACGCCCTCTTTCTCTCTCTGCCCCTCAGTTATCATTTAATTCAGGAGAGCAAGACTCTGCAAACTGCTTGTGGGAAAGGTCTGGTACCAGACAAAGCAGCTCTGGCAGACGGTGAGCCAAAGCCTGATCCTTTTCCTGTGTCTGCTACACACACCACAGAGAGATGCTGAGAGTTTATTTCATAACAACCAAGAGAGTGTGTACATCATTTCACAGGAAACAAGGTACTTCTACAGAGATTTTATACCCAGGCTCCTGCCACACATTCCAGGTAGCTGCACCAGGCTCTCGTGTTGAGCCTCTGTCAGGAGAGTACCAAAGCAGCTTCCCACCAGCCCTGTGGCTTTCCAGCACAGACCAGTGATGGCACATGGCTGTGTGGACAAAGCTCCTCCACTCCAGAGCTGGAGCAGCTGCAAGGAGCAGGCAGCATGGCCAGGCTGCTGTGAGCAGGGAGGGAGAACTGGGGGGTCCCTGAGCACCCCGAGCACAAGCAGCATGTCCTCTGCACACCGTGCCACGGACGCATCCCTGCCCATGGTGGAGGAACTCCCATCTGCAGCAAGGCTGGGCTGCCCAGCTTCTGCAAAATGTCATTCCAGCAAGAGCCATTCCCCCATCTGGCTGTGCTCCTTTGGCTGGCTGGCATCTCAGATTCATGGAGCCAGTGACCAACCAGCTGAAGGAGCCATTCCCTGTCACTATCACACCGCTGGGACTGGCAACATCCATTCACACGGGAAGTGACTCCTCATTTTTCACATGCTTCCCAGCAACCATGCCAGCTCTTCCACACATAACTCCTCACTCCCAACCCTGAATCCTTGTCTTCACTGAAGGCTGCTCAGCCAGAGCCTTCTCTAAAATACACCTGGGGTATGACACCAGGCCCAGCTCCTCTTTGTCCACCCATTCTCCCACTCTAATTTCTTCCTAAAATTCTCCTTTGCCACCCTGGCCAGGCAAACTAATGCCACCCCCTGCCCAGAGCTCTGCTCTGGCTGCCACCACCTCCCATCTTTTGCTTTGCACCCAAAGGTTTGAGTTGGGACCTACTCCATGGATCACAGCAGCGTTCCTGGAGATCCTCCACAAATAAATAAATATGTGTCATTACCTACAGCTGTCAGCAGTGTAACCTTGTCACCTCTGGATCTTGTGGGTCCCCGATTCCCACGTCCCAGTAACGGCTGAGCACTTGTTTAGTCTCCTTGCAGGCAGGGAGGAGCACCAGCACCATTAAATCAGCTTGGGCAGTCGCAAGCTGGGGCTGAGAGCGGGAGGAACTTCTCTTTCCACCGAAGTCAGCAGCGATGCTCCTGCTGTGTTCAGGCTTTGGGGCTCCCATGTTGCTGCACACACAGCCCAGAGGCTCTTTCCCAGCCCACAGTAATATCATTCTCACTGCACAGCATTCTTCACTGCAAGACCCCATCAGAGCACGTCCCACAGGATGTCTCCTCTTCTTCCATGAGTATCTTCATTGTGTGAGCCCTCACCCCAGCCCTGTGCTGGCCGCCTGGCTCTCCCCCAGCTCCACCAGTGCTGCTCCACCACAGCTCTCAGCAGCCAGCCGCTCCTCACCACGGCTCCCCAGAGCAGGTCTCCTGTTCCTGGCACCTCTCCTGAGCCTGGGGAGAGCTGTGCTGCTCAGCAGGGCTCTGGCTGCTGGAAACAAGGTCTGTTCCTGTTGTGGGAGAGCCTCATCCTGCTGCCACATGTGGGAATGCAGCCCCAGCCTGCCTTACAGCTGGGCTAGCTTTTCCCATCTGGGGGGAATTGCTGTTTTCACAGAGATAGGAAATGTTATCCCTCCTACAAGAAGTTTCTAGCCCTTCCTGTGGGCTGGCCAGGCCCACATGATACAAACCTCTAATAAAAATAAGGTTAAAAATAAGTGTCATCCGTGTAACCAGAACATCTAGAAAGTCTGCAGCTACCGCCTGCAAACTTCAAACGCCAAGGCACACAAAGAAAAATCTTCAATGCCTCTCTAACAAAGCTGGCCACAAAATCCTCTTTTTCCTAGAAAACAGGATACGCCTGCTACAGCCTAATCTGAAGTGACGAGGCCTCCCCAAACCACCCTCCTCACACATATACTTTTATCAAGAGGAACACTGCTCCCAGGGGGTGGCTGCCAGCAGAGCCCCCTCCCTCCACACCACGGCCAGAGCTGCTCTTGCCTGCCTGGGTCAGGGATTATGGTCCCTGCTCAGGAGCAGAGAAGCCGGTGCAGAGAGGGAGTGTTTTGTCTGTGGCTGCAAGGCAGGAGTGTGCCAGAGCCCGGCAGTGGAGCTCCCAGCCCTGCTCCACCTCTGCACAAAAGACTGGCAGCCAGTTGTTCCTGCAGCAGTGTCTGCCTGGGACCAAAGGCTGAGGAGTGTGATGGGGCGTTAAACTGCTGAAGAAACTGAAATCCTGGTCTCAAAGATCTCATTTATCCAGTGGGGCAGAACTAACTCCTTGGAAGTTTCAGCTGGGCAGCCAGGAAGAGTCACAGCATCCCTCAGACTGTGTCTAGAGATGTTCTCTTAGTGCTTCCAGCCCAAGGCAGACACTGCAGGTGGGCAGAACACCCAGAGAGCAGGTGGGTGAAAGCCCCCCAGGCTTCTGCACACACTCTTGCCTTTTCCAGGCCTTTCTCAGGCTGACAAATGCAGGCCACATTCCCCACTTCAGCTGCAAGGCTGATCTGGGAGCAGCTGTAAAGGGCTGGGAGAGCTTAGCATAGATAATGGCATCAGAGAACAGGATGGGGACACCCCAGGATGCGATCTCTAGGGAACACATAACAAGGACCCTTCCCGAGGTAACACTCTCTGAGTGTTGAGGAAGCTTTTCAACTTTGACAAGTGAAATGAAGCTGAAAAATGCATCTCAAGTAGGGCGCAAGGATCCTCTGCTCCGTTTGGAGGGCACCAGACTTTTGCTCTGCATGTTTGTGTCCCCACTGCTTTTTGGCTGTTGATTTTACTTTGGTATTCATGGTGAACAAGGGCACATACCTGCAACTCCAAACTGCTGCCCTTGGCCTGTCCCCAGCTCTGATGAGTCCATCAGCAACGCGCTCTGCATGAGAATGGCAGGAGCACCCATGGGCTGATGGCTGCCTGCACCCCTACGGCAGCCCTGGGGCTCTGCCCGGGATGCTGAGCTCCATCCCCGCCGGACACCCCCATAACTACGGTCATCACCCTTCAACCTGCTCTTTTATTCGAATAAATCTCATGGCACCCGCATGTCACACTGCCCTCAGCTCCCAGCCCAGGAGGAAGGACCACCGAGTTTCCTGGTGATTGTTTGAACAGGATGTTGTGACCGCGTACGTCAGGCGAGACTCTTCTTCTTGCATCCCGTCACTCAGCTTTCCTTTCCTCAAGAATTTGGTTCTTTGCTGAGAAATTCTTTATCAGCGCTGGTGTCACCGTGCTGCCGTACCTGCGGCGAGCTCACACGCGCACCCAGATCGCCCTTAATCGGCTCCCAAAGCATCTCCCGGGACGACACGGGGAAGGAAAGGTCTGCCACAGTGCTCCTGCACGGCTGACCTCGGCTGCCAGCCAGGCAGAAGGCTGACTCTCGCC